CTCGTCCAAATACGGGATTTTACAGCGCGGGATTTTTACATAATACATGAACCTTCTATCGATCACGGTTACATTAATTATACCAAACATTGTCAATTTGCTAATTATCTATGCGACTTAAAGGAATGTTCCAGCTCTTACATTAATCGATGTAACATTCGCAAATTAAACTTACTACCTACGAGGATCAAGGCGCAAGATGTGCCGGTTACGTGACTAGATCAGCGACAAAATAGAACTTGAACTCTTCTTATCTTTTTTTTTTTAACTTACAATTAGATCATGTTCCTGTATACACTATCAGTACTGAAAATCTACAGTTCATTTTACGTATACTAGAGACCCTATAACAGAATTTGGCCACAATTTTGTCAAAATTCTACAAGAGAGAAAAATATATATGATTTCTTCATGTATATATTACGGACAAAATCCGCAAGTAGGCAGTGTTGACATTGCTCGCAATGCTGACATTTTATAGCAGACAACTCGGGCACAAAGCTCTAGATATACCAAATAGCGCAAAGATTCTCCATTTTCGACTTACTAATCATACCATACACCAATAATACTAAGTGCTTATTGGAGTACAGACAACTAGATCGAAAATAGCAGTCGAAATAGCCAATAGGAAGATTGTTGGCATTTCGGCTCAGATAAAAGGATTGCGCTACTTTGATATATTTAGAGCTTTACTCGGACAATGTCGACATTGCCTACTTTCGGACTTTGTCCGTAACATATACATATTATCTCACTTTAACTTGTATTGTTTCACTCTATGGACGCTATTCATAGTCGATTCTTATATTTAAGACTGTCTTAAGTACAGTCTTAAGATATCATAAACCATCAAAAAGCTGTACTTAGCATTACTTAAGACATTACTTAAGATTTTAAATAGAGAATTTTAATAAGAATAGACTATGGATACCATCTCCTAACTTTAATTGAGATCATAAAGTGAGACACACAGTATAAATTAGAGTGAGATAGTTCGATAGTATATGTACAGAGAGAAATTATATGTATTTTTCTTTCTATAGAATTTTGATATCGCTAATGGCTCTGATATATATGTACACGAAGAGAATTTTTTTTTTAGAATTTACTCTGAAAACATTGATAGTCCTAGGACAATCACATCGTATTTTAAAGAATTTTATGTAAATTTTTCTCATTCATTAATAAAACTATAATAAAATATAAAATAAATTTGATTAATTTTACTGAAGTGCATGTTAAAAATTTTTTAAATATTGTACCACAACTACCATATTTTCAGGATAAATTTAAAAAAATTCTCTCCGTGTAGAATCTCTAACATATACTAGAGATTTTCAATACTGACAGTATATTGGAACACAGTCTTAAGCGAAACGTCGTATATTTCAGTAATCATCTTTTTACCGCGAAAAAATTTGATTATTTTTTTCGATTTAAAAAGTTGGAACTAAAATCAATTGAATTCATTTTGATATTGTAAATAATGGAAAAATGTACCTTACGTTAATCGTCATGTCTTTCATTGCCACTCCATAGACATTATTTTCATGTATCTGATGCATCAAAATACGAATTTTTTTTAAATACTAATTTCAATTCCTTTGCTTATGAGACATCGAATTATATAAATGAATGGTTGCTCTGTAATTTTTAACGAATGATTTCTAGTCGTCGCAAGACTTGACCAGGGGATGAATTCCCACGGAGGCACCTGAGCTGCTCACGGTATTCTGTATATAATCCTGGAAGTTGCTCTCGATTACCCACATCAATCTCTTGTTGGAAGGAACCACTTGAGTTGGCAATCGGCAATCGTTGCCCTTCTGTACTAGAAGGAAGTTCTCCGGTATGAAGGGTGTCTCGGTGTTCCACATGTAGACATCGGTTTCGCCTAAAAATAAATAAATTATTCTTCTTAATTAGACGCTAAAGAATTGTTGCAATTTACATTGAAAGCAATTTGATGAAAGCAATTGTCACAAATTATTTTTTAAACTATAATTCTGCCGCGCAAACTTTTTTTTCATTTTGAGAAACACAGAGAAGATCTATGACTGTTCAATTATTTTCTTATATTTAATTTATGCGAAAAGAAGAATCTATGATACTGTACAAGGATTGATGCTTGCGTCAGATTAAACAGAGAACACCAACTTACCTTTATTTCTGAAGAAAAGGGCGCAGCCATTGTCGTTTCCAAGGAGAACAATCTTGTTTTGCTTCGGTCCGATATCTATAACTGATCCTTGAGAGAGACCACGTCTCAGATTCTCAGCCTTGATCGCAAAGAGCCTGTTGGATCCCAGGTAAGTGAAATACAACACTGGCGTACCGCAGCTCTTCTTCACCAGCGTTGAGTAGAGAACGTCTCTCCGTTGGACACCGGTGGTAACTGCATTCGGAAGGATCACTCGGAATCCTTTATCCGCAGTGACATTGTAAACGATAATGGATCTAGAAGCTGCATCGGTCACGTACACATATACCTGGCCGTCGTCCGCGTAGTCGATCGTCAGATATTGCAGACGAGACAACTCGTTCACCAAGTGACTCAAATCGATCACTTTCACAACCTGCGGGACACCATATCTCAATATGAATCATTTATTTCCACAATATATTTCTACATACTCCAATATATCATGAATTTTAATGAAACACTGATATAAAATATTTGTGATTAAAAAGAAATTATTAAAATCAGTTATATAATTTATATCTAAAAAGGTTTTTCTATCTTTCATATCAAAGCCTAAAATTAATTAATTAATTTATTTATTTATTTAATTTAATTAATTAAATTAATTTATTTATGTTAGAACATTTTTGTCGAATATCCTTATGTTTTTTTTTTCTTTATCAAACAATTAAAGTTACTTACTAAAATCAAGGTACTTCAAAGACAAGTGCTTCCGATAGCTTTTTTTCAATTAAAAACAATAATAAATTGTTGTACAATTATAAAATTATAATAATGAATTTTCTTAAGTCTGTCTTATCTGAGTATTTCAACGTTATTAATCATTAATTTTTCGTACCTTGCCGGATTTTACATCAATTCCGACGACTTTGGGAGGACACCTCCGCACCGGTTGCTCCAAAGTATTTACGATACCAACGTCCAATACCCACAAAATCTCTTGGATGTCCAGAAATATGTCTACTACGCTCTGCAGGGCTTTGCAGTTGCCCTCTTCTTGGATTGCCCAGCAAGGGAATGCTATCACCTTCGGGGTGCAATCCTTCTTCTTCAACGACATAACACCCAGAGTGAATGGCACACCCGGCTTGTAGCGTGGCATCGCTACGATTGCATCGTCCTTGTAAATCTGCGCTCTCGTAGCAATAACATTTCTGGCAATGTAACGTCCGTTCGTCTCGTAGATGTTCTTCGTGTCCTCGCTTGGCCATTCCAAGCTGCGGCCTGATAGGATGAACGACAGCTCCGGCAACAATTGCTTGTCGCATACCACTGACGACAACCCACTCGCCAGAATTATCAGGCACAGAGCGCTCGTCGGGATTCTCATCCTGCGCTCGTTTTTTGTGACTTGAAATAATGTTCCGACGTTCTAGAAACATAACACACATAACAATTTAATGATTAAATTACACTGGAAACAATATCCTATAGATAAACTTCTGAAAATTTCCAAGCCAACAGATAGTTATTAAAATAAAGTTACTAAAAGAAAGTTAATAAAATCAATAAAAATTAAATTTGATATAAATTTTAATAAATAAATACATAGAATACATTTGTTCTTCAATTATACGAATTTAAGTTTATATGAAATTTTTAGAGCATTGAAAGAGTATGTGATTAAGCTGTATATAGTGAATATTGATACACACACACACACACACACACACACACACACACACACGCACATATATATATATATATGTAATATTTAAAAAGATAAGTACTGAAGAAATAGATAAAGTTAGATTAATAGCTCTCTAAGCGAAGTAACAATATAAAGTAGTTGTTAAATATATGGCGAAAAAGATGTGAAAACTTACAAAGTTTCCCGTACAATCAGGGGCGAAAATTTTTGAATATGTGAATCATTTATACAGCTTTATACTTATATATACGTTGATTGTGAATCAACTGAAATCGTTTACATTTTTATCGTATATTACTGCTTCCTTCTACCCAATATTTTGCAACGGCTTTCTTACTCAAGTTTAACGAATTCGTAAAGAGGAAATATTTCGTGATATGCATTTTTTAATGTTATTTATAAATAATGACGAGTTCAGGAAGACACAAAAAACAGCATACATTAAAATGCAGTAAATACAATGCACCAGGAAATACAATGCACAAGGAAATTATTTCGTTGTTTTATTAATAATTTATTACACTTCCGCTCCTGAACGAACGTTAATCATACAATTATCTAATACAATCGTTTAATTTATTGTTTTCTTTATTCTTATCTATTTTTAAACTTATTTTGTAACTTTTTGTAATTATAGGAATTAATATAAATAGAATTATATTCCATTGTACTTGTATTCTGTTATAATTAAACTTTTTACATATTATTTTACATATATTATTTATTTTATTTATTTCATTTATTTAAATAAATAATTAAAATTATTCTACATGTTACTTGTATTATTATTTTCGAATTAAAAGTATAAAGAAATGTGACTAGAAATTTTTCATACCTTTTATATTCTTTCATATTGGTAAATAAACAGTAGTGAATTAATTTTCTCAGTATTTTCTTTTTGTCTGTATTTTTATAATTATAACACTCATAATGTAAAACTCCTCTTTGACATTATTAAATTTTTTTATTTTTATTATTTTCACTTAACGAAGAAAGAGAATATTCTAGTGTTCCGAAGTAATTAAGCATTAAAAGAAATAATTCATTGTCATGTTAATTCATTACATAATCTTAATCAACTTATTATGCCTTTTATTTATAATAAATTCATTATACATATTTATAGAATAAGCATTTGGCATTTTCGGTCAACAATAAATAGCAATTTGTGCGGAACTGCTTTAATGAACGTGTTCATGTCGACTCGCTGCGCACCGCGACTAAATATTTTTTAAACAAAGATGTTACGTAATATCTCGTCCCGATGTGACAGGATTATAAAATTGGCGTAATCCGGAGGATTTTACAGTTTACGATTTGATTCGATCGACAAAAGAGACGCGGTCGAGGCGGTCGGATATTCGAAGGGGGAAACTTACAAAAAATAAGGATGCTTTTCGCACGAGCGGTGACGTTCGTCGTCGCCGTCGTCGCTGTCGTTGGTGCTGACGAGCCTATTACCGAAAGAAAATGCGACAAGAACATTCTGTGGACCGGCGGTACCTTCGAATGGCCTTGCGTGGCCACGAAGAGCATATTCAAGAATAGTGGTCGTTACATCTCGAAGAACATTCTCGCCACCAGGGTTGCGATCTACAAGGATGATGCCATCCTTGCTTTACCTAGGTATGAGATACACAATTTATAAGTTTATAATGCAGTTAAAAGAATCTGCGATAGAACATTTAATATTTTTTTGCACATTTTGAATATTTTTATATGTTTTTTATTAATCTTTTATTTAAAAATACAAGGAGATTATCTTAAAAAAGATTAGGAAGTAGAAATACATTTTTTATATTGCAATATATGTATAATATAAATTATGTCACAGTAATGCATTATTCTATTCAGATTTCTATATAATATGCATACGTCAAAATATGTCTGAAGTTTTATTGAGTCGTTCTTTGAAAAAAAAAAAAAAAAGATTGTAAAACGTTATCTTTATTAGCAAAAAATTTATCTTCACAATGATTTATAGTCTTGCAGATTAATATTGATGTTTTCTAATGAAATATATTCTTGCTCTATTCAAAATTTATTTTATATTTAAACGTATTTAATATAAGGAAAAAATTTATTGCAAAAGAGTCTTACAAAAAAGTAACATATCGTTCGTATTATTTGTATAAATTATGGCAAGGTTAAAAATATTCCTCTGTGAAAAAGTTTGTATAAAGAAGTATCCGATTTCATTGATGTACTTTCGATTCGTAAACAAAATCGATCCTCTCCAATTGCAACAAAATCCAGGGTAAAAGGGCAACCGCATTCTTTGGCAAGTTTACCGATCATTTAAAAGGAGAGAAATCGCAGAAGAAAAGAACGCTATTTGCAAATCGCGTGTTACGTAGCGATCGATACATTGCAGTATCAGTCTTAGAAATTAACGAGGCACGAGTTGGAAGTGAACTGAGATTGCAAGACGCGATCGTGATCGCAGTTCCAACGCGGAAAAATGAAATCATCTTACCGAGATATCTACGGGAATTACCCGTTCAGAAAATAATGGGGTTTTTTTTCTGACATGATAATCGAAAGACACACGGTTGCAGACCTTGTCATGGTTATAAATCGAATAATGAGAATGTCCACACATGTGTGTAATAATGTTGCGACATTATTGATCGGCGATTGTATCTGCCTCATTTCACGTAGGGCGTTTGGCATTTACTGCTATAAACGCAATGAAATGCGCTTCGCTCAACGATAAAAGCGTTTAATCGTGATATCTTCATTATATTTCCTTTCCATTATGTGTGCACGATCATTAATCTTACTGATTGTCGGCGATTTTACGAGGTTAACACGCGATATTAGCGGGTTAATGATCAATATCAGTAAGTAGTGTTATTTGTATAATTACTGCTGATTAATAAATAAATTTAAGGCATACTTTACAATTTATTTTTTATGTATCAAACATAACAAAACGACTGTAAAGTGTATAAAATATCCACGCAATTCCGCTTAGCAATTTGTATATTTATTTCGTGAAATAAATAATTTTTATTTGCGATAATTTGTGCATACTAATAAAATAATATAATTTTAAGAAAGAAAATTAACAGAATATCAAAAGAACTTGAATGTTTTTTTTAAATATGAGATTGCCGCAAGAATCTTATGTTTAATATTTTCTGATAATAATATGAGATAAGAATAAGAGGTCGATAATGTCTTAGAATTAAGAATATACTAACGTTTATTCGAAACGTTTCTCCAGATACAAGCCTGGCGTGCCAGCGACCTTAGCGAGAGTCTCCTTGAAAGATAAGAACTGCCAGGCCTCCCTCTGGGCCTTCCCTTGTTGGTCGCTCCAGGAAGAAGGTACATGCTCAGCTCTACAAAATGTCGTAGACCTCTTTTTGGATCCCCAGGAAGTCCTGTGGGTACTGGACACTGGTGTTATAAACTCTCTTGAGCAACCGGAGCGCAAATGTCCACCAAAGGTTGTCGCCCTGAATATAAAAACTGGCAAGGTAAGACAATTCATTTCTGAAACTCTCGATGTAAAAGAGCGCATCTTATTTTCTTCTTATAGAAATTTTGATTTTACGCGAAAGAGATATTTTTAGAATCTTTCTACTTGTTTTTATTATAAAAGCACAAAAATGCTTTAAATGTATTAAATGTTTATTTGCATTATTTAAAGCGCCCATTTATTTTTTGATAAAGAAATAGAAAAATTATTTCACGTTTGTAATATAATTTTTTTGTTATTCACGCCGTTTGCGTACGCGTTCATGTTATTAATCTATATCGCTTTTCTTTTTTTTCGCAAGAGATTGTGCAAGAGAATTTTTTTTAATCGTTTTCTCTAACAAACAAGCCACGCATAATTCTCGATTAAAAAGCTATTTCTTATATCGTGTGATTGTGAAACCAATTAAATTGCAAATTATTCACTTAAATTTATCAAAGAGAATGTGACGCTTTTTCTAGCACGATATTTTATCGATCGATTTTAAATTATTTTTAACAATAGAATAAACAAATAGAATAAACCCAAGTAAACAGTAACATAAAACATCAAGATTTTAATTTTCACTCAACAATATAAATGTAATATAACATATATTATATAATTATATTGTTGATATAAAATTACAACATTGATATTATGTTATTATTAGTTGATATTTAAGATATTATATTTCTCAAATTTTCTTTCTTCTTAAAAATTAAATTGATTCTTCGATTATGTAATATTAAACGTCAAGATAACGCAACGGATTTTTAACGTCTCTTTTTTTCAGGTCCTGAAAACAGTCGATCTGTCCGGGCTGACGAACTCCGCGTCCCGACTTCAGTACGTCGTGGCGGATTACAATCCAGACGGCCGCGTCTTCGTCTACGTGTCCGACGCAGCCTCGCGGGCGATCCTGGTATATGACGTGACCTCTGGTCGTGGATACCGCGTTGTACTTCCTCAAGCGGTGACTCTGAACTGCGATCGCCGAGACGTGCTCTACCTCGCTCTGGTGCGCCACAATGACGGTAGTACCTGCCTGCTCTTTACATACTTGGGCAGCAGCCGCGTGTTCAGCATCCGAACGGATCATCTCCGAAGTGGCAATGCCCAAGGCAGGATACAAGATCTTGGAGTAAAACCACAGAAGATAGTCATTCTGGGCACAGACAATGGTAGTGCTGTCTTCTTCCGCTACGTAGGCAACGGCGAGGTCTACAGATGGGACAGCATCACGCCCTTCGTAGCCGCCAACTTCCAGCCCGTCTACGAGAATAGCTACGAAGGCTCTCTGCCTACTCACATCGTACCCGATTACAGGAGAGGACAGATGCGCGTTCTCGAGAGCAACTTCCCGGATTACATGCAGGGTACCGTCGGCTGCGGAGCCAATCATGCGTTGATCCTGATGTAGAGCGAGAGGTTCTCGCCGATTGTGAATAGATCGAGGAGAAGGAATAGGAGAATGGGTTGATAACAGCGACAGGTTTCTTGGCCCCCCCGGCGTGCCCAGTCGGGAAACCGAGTAACATTATAATTCAATGAGATTACCTTTTCATGTTATAGATGCGGAACAATATGTACCTTACGCCAATCGTCTTTCATTGCCATAAATGTGTAGCGTAAAGATCATTCTTGTGTACGTGTATGTGTTTACCTGTGTGTATATATACGTGTGTCTGTAGCGTCGAAACTCGACTTGCAAAAATTACATTGGCTGCAATGCATCCTTTGCAACCGACGATGCAAAAACTCCGACAGTAAGCAAAATGTCAATCGCTGACATTCGTCGGATGCAGAAATAAACGTATTATAAAAATTCAGCGTTTTTTAATTTTCTCTCCGAACGCAACGTGCATTTCTAATCTACTCTCGGCTTAAGTCTTTGATCCGATATTAAATTAACTTTTGCGCACTAATCCTCTCTGATTAATTACGCATTTCGATTCACGCAAATTGATCCACCGCTTTTAATTAAATGACTCAAGTATTTTTTTCGAGAATATTTTCTAACTTTTATCTAGAACTTCATATATTTTTTTTACGGATTACACAGATCGCTTTATCTTCGTTCCTCGATCAGAATTATAAAATTTAGCCAAAGGCATACGATGCGATTTTTTGTGCTGGATTGCATGCGATTTAGTAAATTACTATAATTACACAACATATGTTCAGATTTCCATCCAAGTGCTTCCCATGTATCATTTTATTCTCGTTTAACATTCAATGAATAACAAGGATAAAATGATACACGGATAGGAATTCCAACACTCCAGGGTACAGAGAGAAAGAGAGGGAGAGAGAGAGAGAGAGAGAAAGAGAGAGAGAATATTCCTAATCATTTACTAGATCGCATTGCGATTTAGCACTTGTAGAGAAATTGCATTGTATGCCTCTGGCTTTACATGCAACAAGTTTCATTTGCTTGAAAGGAGGAAAAAAGAAACGCCGACGAATTGTGCACTGCGCGTGAAAAAGTTAATCACATCGCGTGTTCTGCACCTAGATATAGCAATTTACAATTAATACCTCTTCTACCTATTCTCCATTTCTAGTTTTCCTTTGTGAGTAACGCATGTGCTCGATATAAATTAATAGCTTACATGAAGGACGAAGAGTGTATTTGATTCTTAACGCACCTGTTTTCCTTTCGAATTCTTGTATCGAATTTACATTTTTTTTACATCGAATGACGAATGAATATTTTTTATAACCTCCGTTTCTTTTTTCCTTTTTTGCCTACCAGCATTGAACATCGAACCAAAAGCTATGTGATATATGAGAACTTTCAATGAAAATTGATATTCAGATCAGATTATCTTTCTTTTTACACGATACGCTGCTACAAAAGTCCAATTGTATCCGATTACGAATTAGGTGATTTTTTAATTTTTTAATTGTGTGTCATCTGATCTTTGATTTGATAATCCTTTGACTCTGTCGTAATTTATTTCGAAAGAACTGTAATTCTGTCAAACTGAATTTTATTATAAACTATTTATAATCTGACCAGCACGAATCGTTAACATTAACGAGCACATTATAAATATTAATTATGTAAATGATATTACATGAAAGTGTGTCAAATCTTGAGGTAGGTCGAAATTAGACTTTCAATTAATTGCCGATCGGCTGATGGAGCAAACGTCTCTTGGGCTTTAAACGATGAAAAAAATATCGAAAACGCTATTATTAGAATGAAAGGAGGAGAACTGTTCACGTAGCATTTCTCGTACTATTTTCCTTAGACGTCCTCGTACAATTTATTCCTTAGACGTGCAAGTTCGCCTTCAGAGAATCAAATACATGCAATTAATTTTATTACGATCGGTAAAAAAGTTAAGTCGGTTAAAATCTTGCTCATAAATACATTCTAATCATACGTTCCCGCAAACTGTAATTATATGTATTGATGGCATCTAGTTAAATATAATCATGTTAACATTTCTTACAAATACGTGTCAGTCTACTACAGTAATATGAAATGTGTTATTTAAAATTAGATGTCAGTCTCGATATTGATATGGGAAATTTGAATCAATGAAAAAAATTTTATTAATTTTAAATTTTTATCTGATTTTTTTATATTTTTATTAAATAAATAAAAGATTAAGAATCGCAGATAAATTCGGAATGATTACATATTCGGTATATCAAAATTGATATATATAATTTTTATTGCCATTACCTGTTTTAATATTAATATTTTATTGACATTTCTCTTAGCTTGTCATTTCCGTTTTGCGTTACATAATTATTTAATTTATGGGCATGTAGTGCGACGTTATCATACCTGTCAATAACTACTCGTAAATGGTCTTTAAAAAATATTTTACTGATATTTATCCCCACGATAAGCTGAGAATTTGCTTGTTCAAGCTGACATTGCGGATCAATAGTGAGCTGCTTCCGTTTCGTCGTGGGAACGGTGGGCAGTCGTGATCGTTCCTATGGTATTTCCCATAGTGTTCTATGCGAGGTATTGAGCAACAACGAAATACTCGGTTTCTAACGAAACACGTTGCAAACTTTATACTCGGTAATTGAACACTACCGTATCATTCCGTCCACCTCGTTTTAATTCCCAGCCTTTCGATGCAGCGTTGAATAATATCCAGTTACGATTGTTAACAATTACGCGCTTTGTTACAGAAAGATCACGTTAGTCAATTTTTTTTATCAGTCGTAATACTGCAGCAAATTCAAGTTGAAATAGAAAGGAGAGAAGAAAAAAAAGAAGAATATCAGCGCGTCCTTAAACTTAAAATTACACAATTTTTACATCAAGCTTATGTTCAAAATAAAGAATTTTTATAATACTATATAATAATATATAAAATATATAAATAAAATATTATATAAAATATATAGTATTTTAAGAGAATTCTATATCACCCATGGAACTGCGAATATCTTGCAATATTACGAGAAATCTTTCTACCATATTATGGAAGAATTCGTACCTCGGATATTAGATATTCTGACAGATTATAAATCTATTCTCGTGAAATACGTACGGTAGTTTTTAAGTATTTGAGATATACGAAAGACTTAAGAGTACAAAGAATAGGCTAGGCAGGGATGCATGCTCAAGAGCTCTGTTAACACAGAGAGAAAGTGATTTATTGGCATGAAACTTGGTATCCGGAACGATGTATACAGAATGCGAGACTAAAAAAAAGTGAAAAAAAATACTGCGGTTTGTAAAAAGATGAATTTCGTATATATCTCGATATTTTTTAAAAAATATGAAATGTTTGCCAGGAGAAAAGAGAAGAGAAATTCCGAGTGAAATGCATTCCCCAATCGATTTTACGATCTGATCATTCCTATATGCTATCACCAAAAAGTTTCAGAAATTTCGCTTGTAAATTCAAGCCACTTTAAACATGCACATTCTCGTCGCGAAGAGAACGACATAAATAAGTCAGGGTGAAAAAAATCACGAACAATGGCCACAATCAAGATCGTTTGCCTTTTGCTCCCTTATCGCAGATATACATATATCCGAAACGTAAATTATATCTGTTATAATGGGCGCGGCTTTAGTTCCGGGCACTTTCGATCGAGACCAGCCAAGGACGTCTACATAACCGTTATAATTCCATAGCACGATCAAGTGCAATTTTGTACACCATTTTTTTAATGTTTCGTAATATCACACAGTGACTTATTAGTGGTAAAGCCGATCATCGATACTTTATATCGCATATTCCGTCACAAGCGAGTGAAGCTCCTTCGTGTATGCACTATGTTAGAGCTCTTTTTTAGTGAAGTGTGAAAAATTCTAAGCTCGCCTCTTATCTGTCAACGTTTAACATTTTAATTTTTAGCACGTAGCAAATTAAAACCAATATATCTTTGGAGTTAAAACTAAACGCGTGAAGTTATGTCTTATAATCATGAAGTTATTATCGGATGAAATCTTTATCAAGCTTATCGCATCAAATTTACGAAAAATTTTCAAGTTTCTACGGTCAATGAAAGCATTAACTTTTGACTTACGGAAGTTAGGGAAATACGAGAGTGGATGTGCCCGCGAAGCAAGTCAGTCACAAGCCACTTTCTTCACCGCCTTGTAAGAAGAGATTTGCACGAGACTGGCGGTTTGCTTCAAACTCCGAAGTCCTGGAATGGGAAGTCTTAATCGGTGTAGGCGTATTGCTTCTCGGTAGACCGTATGATTGTGCGTACGAGTAAAAGTATATACACGTCTCGTTACACAATGCATTCAAGTTGTGGTGTCCTGTCTCTTAAGGACCCAACAAGTTTTAACAAGCTGATGCTAGAAAATTGGTTCAGTCGGTATTCAGTCGGTAGAACTTGTGGTACACACCCGTGCATATTTCCCGAGACAGTTGACGCTGGTATCGCGTCGTGGCTGTATCTGATCCGATTATATTGTCACTTCATCTCTCGTGCGTGATTGAAGCAGTGCGGTTGAAGCTTCTATTTCTATTCTACCGTATTTGAGCTTTTAGCCTTGCAACATGAGGTGGGTAACGAAAACGGTAAACAAAATAATTTAATTCTGTATATAGGCAGAATGAACAAGATCTTGTGTTTATTTTCACATTATACTTATTCCTAAATAAATTTAGCACGCCAAAACTTTGTACCTCTTGCTTGTTAAAAGAATCTCAAAGGGCAATTTGATAATATCAATTTTCTCTAGAAAAAAGATATTGACTAACGTCTGTTTGTATCAATGTAGATTAATTTTAATCTCGGTTCAACTAACGATTCATCTTTTTTAATTCTAATAATTAGAAAAAGATAAAAAATTAATTAAACTGAGATTAAAGTTAATCTACATTGATAGAAACGGGGATAAGGCATATGTCTTTTTGTGCAATGAATTATTTTTGAATTATTTTAAAAATAACTATTCATTTAAATTAATTAATTGTGTATAGTTTGATTTCTTAATTTTTTCAGGCATACGATCTTCGTGACGATCCTGTCGCTATTGTACGTCAGAATGAGGGCGGGAACACTGGAAACTATAGCACAATGGTCGTTACTAGAGTTTGCACTGCCGAACGAGCGCGGTTTTCAATATCAACCGGAAAATATAGTAATGACCGGTATCGAAATAACCTGGAACAGAATTTTCGTCAGCACACCTAGATTACGTTCTGGTGTGCCGGCCACCCTGAGCTTCTTTCCTAGGAACGTACCATTGGGTAGCAATCCGAAGCTTCAAGCATATCCCTCGTGGGACTGGCATGGTGCCGGAAAAGGAGAAATCAATTGCACTAGGTTGATCTCGGTGTATCGTACCAGACTGGACAAATGTGACCGACTATGGGTCGTTGACGCCGGCGTTATGACATCAATTGATGATTTCATGCCTGTCTGCCCGCCGAAGGTTGTGGTCTTCGACTTAAAAACTGATCAAGTGATTCGTCACGTCACTTTTCCGCGTGAGGTGAGCAGAGTGACATGCTTTGGTGATAAAATAAGTAGAATGGATAGCATCAGTGAAGGATCCAGTTCGTAAATGATCCGCATCGAAAATCAAATAAGTAGAAATGTAAAAATAATTTTGAAAAAATATATCTGCGGACGTAAACAAAAGGATAATTTATAATATTATATAATTATTTTATATCATTTTTATTTATATAATTAACATTCATAAAAAATATAAAATATTAAATTTATTATTATTTATCTCTTAAAAAAAAATATTTTTTTTAATGAAAATGTTATTTATTTCATTAATTGATATTAAAATATTCCAATATACATTATTTTTGCCTTACATGTAAAAATGTATTAATTAAAAATATATATTAATAAAAATGAAAAGAGAATGTTAAATGTGAAGAAATCGTTTATAAATGATCTCTCAGTAGGATCGATTTAATTTACAACTGTAGAATAATCAAAAACCGGTTTTGTGCGCAATTTTATGTCATTATGTAGCAAGATTTATGTGATGATAGAAATAAGCATCACAGAAACAATGATCATTCACTGATGCCTGGCCTGACAAACAAGTATTTAAGACATTTTTGCATAGGATTACGTAAAAGTAATTGTTCCAAGCAAGCGTTATATATTTTATGTTATATTTTTTTTAGGTGTTAAGACCAGATTCTTTGCTGACTAATGTTGTTGTCGACGAAGTCTCGGCAAAAACCTGCGATGACGTATTTCTTTACATGACTGACACTCTCGGTCCAGGTATACAATTTTTAGTTGAGTTGTTAATTAAAAACACTTTAAGATTATTTTATGATATATTTTAGATTTAATAATAGTTTTTTATTAATTCCCTTAAAAAAAAACCACAAATTCATTATGTAACTTCACAGTTGACAGTTCAGGTTTGTTTTATAAAAAGATAATACACGATTTCGTTAATTTGTTTGTTCGGCATTGATTTCAAAATGGAAAATTGAAAAGAATATTTTGTTGTTATATTACTTTCAAAAAAGAAGGAATGCTGCGTAAGCTCATAAAAAGTTATGTGATAAAAGTGAAAGTTATGTATAGCGAAAATACTGTAAAATTACGGCAATGTCAGAATTGATTTGCTAAATTTCGGTTTGGCGATTTTGATGTTAAAGATGCACCACGCTCAGGAAGACCAATTGAAGTTGATGACGATAAAATAAAGGTATTGATCGAATCCAATCGGTGTTTAACGACACAAGAGATTGCTGAAAATCTTAAGATGACGAAATCGAGTGTTGAAAAAAATTATTTAAAACAATTTGGATACATTAGTAATCGCAAAAAATGTAATTATTTTTTAGCCAACCTAATATTTTACTTTGAATTTTATTATCAACGTATAGCCGTTCAAGAGAGTGGGCTCAAACTGGTAAAACGACTAGGCATGCTTGCTAAGCAACTGAGCATGATTCGTTCTTACCAATTCTGTTATTATCTGTGGATCTAATCAATCATGTTTAATTGCTCGGCAAGACCTAGCTTTATCAATTTAAACGCGCGCAATGTAAGTTAGAAAAGTTAAATTCTTTTAAGTTCAAAAATAAAAGTATGTTATTCGATTTAAATAGATTCGAAGAATGAGTGATATGCTTAAAATTTAATTCCTTAAAGTTATTATATCTTTTTTAGAATTATTAAAACCGTTAATAAATTTTAACGTAAAAAATTGAAATTCTTTGTTCATTGTGTTATGTAAAAAATTACGTATAAAATTATTTTTCCTTAAAAGTTGTTAAAGAAAATTTACAAAAACCTTAATATTTTCTCAGGAATTCTTATCTTCGATGGTGCTACAGATAGAAGTTGGCGAGTCATTCATTCATCCATGTTTCCTAATCCAGATCAAGCAATGTATACAGTAAGTACAAGAGTTTTTTATATTCTTAAATGTAAGAATATGAATTATTATTTTTAAAATATATTACATATCAATTTTATATAATTCTACATTATATCTAGGTATATTTTATCTATGTACAAATATTTTTATAATTTTTATTATATACATATGTATTTTTTTATTATTTTATTGAACTGATTTCAACATTATGGTCATATTTACTTGCCTGTAAATAGTATAAAGTAAATTGAAAATAATATTACAAATGTATTTTTTATATTCAATTATTGTTTTGTTAATCCATTGTGATTATCTGTTTTTTTTTATTTTTATGAATAATCTTTTAATATTTGCATTTTTTTCTTTTGTGAGAGATAAGATTAATTTTTAATTAATTTAAATGTGTAATAAATATATCCTAAATGCTTGTTGTAATTTATAATTGATTTCCCTTTTTAACAAATATTAGAGAATAATAAACAGCTTAAATTTTGATTATATTTGATAACATTACAGAAGGTTTTTATATATAACATATTTTAATATATCCAGAGAAAGGTTTCTTTGATTTAAAGAAATGTTTCTTTACTATCTTACGATTAATAAAAAAATTTCTTTGATTTGAAAATTATTTTTTTAAATAAAAAAATTTATTATTTAAACAAAAAAGAATTTTTTTTAATCGTATAGCAAAGAAACATTTTTTTAAATCGAAGAAATCTTTCTCTGAGTGTAATACACATGGAAAAACCATCACATGCATATAATATATTTTATAGAATTTCTCCAATTAAACATATCTTGTTCAACATTAATTGGGTATTTCCCTAGATTGGAAGTGACACTTTCGAGTTCTTAGATGGTGTAGTGGGATTAACATTTTCACCAAAACTCGGGATCGTCTACTATCAACCTCTGGCAACTGATCGTATCTTCAGCGTGCCCACTTCGGCACTCCAAGCCGGTCCGTTACCTTTCGGCGAACAGTTACCTGTGACCTTGGTTGGTAGAAAGTCGAGTCAAGGTCTGGCACTGGCCGTGGATCCTCGAGATGATACGATCATATTCTCTCCCTTTACCGAGACCGCAATCGCGTCGTGGCAACCGCAAACGAATCAGCAGAGGTATGAAATTTTGTACGAAATATTTTTATAAGTATTATTTTAATGTGTTATTTTAATGTGAATTTGTTAGATAATATTATGCAATGTTATGTTACTTTAATATAATTGAACTTAGAAGATTAATGATTATCAAAAATATTTTTCTTACATTCTGGTTTATTGATGTATTAGCAAAAAACAATGTTATATAACAAATTTATAATTGGAAAAACAACAAGGTCTACATAAGAATCCCGAAGCAGTTGATGCATATTATGCACGCAAACCGGTTCCGCTTTAAGTAAATGGTCATAGCACTGTTGGTTGCGACTTGTAAATGCCCTGAACATCGCTTCCTAAATATAAATTTATTATAGAATAATCAACTTATTATAGGAATTTCCATAAGGAAAATGAATTTGCTATAGTATTAACCACTTTTAATCGCAGAAGCTCCCCTTTCCTTTTTATTATTTTTATTAAAAAAGAGAAAGATTCTTAAAACATTTAATTTTTTATTTTCATGCTTTGTATTTGTTTTTCAACAATATCTTAGTTTATAACAAATATACTTATTATTATTGTTGTTAGACATTCTTTATTATTATTATTTATTTATTGTAATTGATCGTTGATAATTTTTAATATTCTTGATTAACAGATTTGTCAAACATTGAAGTTAATTAGGAGATAATAAATTATATTATCATTATAGAGAATTGATAATAATAATATAATATAATCATTATATCAGAATTATAATTATAAGTTTATAATATTTATTATAATTATAATTATAATAAAGTAATTTTTTTCTATCTTTTACATATCTCTTTTTTCAGAATACTCGCTTATAGTCCAGAAAAATTACAATTTACTGCTGATATTTTATTAGCAAAATATGATAATGGTAATATCTGGATAATGTCATCAAGATTCCACAAGTTCTTCCTGAGACGAATTGATAATCGTCAGATTAACATCCGCATCATGAGACTCAAAGCGGATAATCAAGCACTGGTTCCGACTCTTTTTAATCAGCAGATTGATCCATATTTACAATTCTATAATAATACACTAGGATTCTAAAAAAAAAAGTATTACAGAAGAGTTCAGATTGAAAGAATTATGACAGCAGGCAATATTCAAGTGAATGTTCATGTTCATAGAAAATATCATTAGTAGAACATATTTTTGAGAATGTAACAGAAAAAAATATTTAAAAAGATAACACACTATATATATATATGTATGTATATACAGTATATTTATACACAAAATTTGTATATTTATTTACTAAATTTTTCACTTTTCGTTAAAATGTTCTGAATTTAAGAAGCCAATATAAAAAACATTTAATATTATCAATTATTGCAATAATATTAATTTAATACAATTGTCAAAATCATAAATATTTCAAGTCATTTTAATTGCAGAAATCAATTTATTAATTGCAGAAAATGATCTTTTAAAACATTTTATATCCTTTAGTATTTTAGTATTTTAAGAAAAGTAGAAAATAAAAGATTATTTTATCAAACTTGTTCTTTTCTTTTAGGAATATGTGTATATAATAACCTTTTAGATTACAAAGTCTTAGACTGTGATTTAATATCATCTTTTATATCAAATGTATTTAAAACATTTTATATTAATAAAATATAATATAATAAAGATTCAATTAATTAAAATTTGGAAGATAAAAGGGCTATGAGCCACGTAAGTGTGTATTCTAGTTAGTATAATTTTATATTAACTTTATAAAATTAATTAAAATACTCTAATGTTCAACTCTAATATTCAAGATTTACTTACTTAAAATTTGCTTGAGAATTCATCGGAAAACTAGGTTTAATTCAATATTGCCAAGTTTGCAAATTTTTCTGTACGTAATCGGCATTCGCATTCTTTCATAATTGCATCCTAATAATCAATATGCTTAATTTATTTTCATTGATATTTTATGATATCTTAATAATATTTTCAATTTCTCAATTTATAAATAATATGGTTTTTAATAAATAATACGATTTTTATTTTAAAATTAATTTGACAATATAAGAATGAATATATTTGTACATAAATATTGTCACGATTGATTAATGATAAAATGACAAGTAAAATGAAACAACTCAAAAAAAAGATACATAAAATAAAATTATAAGAAATAGACGTGTAGATTTGTCTAACACATCAAATTTACATTCAATTTTCTTATAAAAAAGAAGCACCGAATCTGTTTCTTCAAATAAATTATTTGATAATTATGATTATATATGACGACTTATAAATTAAATGTCAGGTAATAAGTAAACGAGGTAATAACTAACTAGAGATTAAGTAATTAACAAATATAACATCTATTACTTACAAATGTAGTGAAAGTTATGCTCTCAAAGATCGTGTCCTATTACGCAATATATGATTAATCAAACATTTTTCAGTACTTTTATAAAATGCAGCTGCTTCATTAAATTAATAAAATATATATCTTGCTGCCATTTATTTGCTAAATAAATTATATGAATATTTGCATCTATGTATTTAGATACATGTAATTTTACAACCAATTATATATAAGATCCACGTAAAGTGTTTCACCACGTAAAGTGTTGTAACTATTTTCTCTTAGCTGTTAAGAACAATAATAAAATTTTTTGCTTGTGCTTTGAAATTGATTGGAATTGTCTTTGTGAGAGGCATGCAAAATTGCTTATTCAAGGAGACATTATTTGAAAAAAAATTGAAACAAATATTTTTTCTTTTATAAATCAATTTTCTTCTGCTCTCTTTATATGTAAACATATTAAAATGAGAGTATTAAAATATGTCTATTATATAATATTATCTTTTATTAGCACTGGATTCAATATTTTAATAAGTTTCAGCAAAAAGAATGATGAGGTAAACGCGTGATATCATCCGAGTAACGGATATTCTATTCTGCATAATTTTTATTTTATATATATATATATATGGTATATATATGTGTGTGTGTGTGTGTGTGTAATACAAATATAATTGCGTATAAAATGCATTAAAAATTATTATAATTAGTTACTTAATATTTTAGATATGTATAGAAAATGAGTTATTTAATCAAGTAATAGAAATTAACAACATATA